ATTTCGTTCGCCTGGATGGGTTGCTTGATGTTCATGGCGAGACCGATGTTCTCCATGTCATCCTTGCCCACGAGTCACTCGCGAAGCTTCTTGGCACATGTCGTGTGTTTTGCGGCGGAGTTGAGCTCGGCACGAACGGTGAGGCACACGATCTATGGAGACACACGGTTTACTTTGTCACGATGCCATTTGCAAGTTTTTGTTCAGTCTCCTCGACCGCGACTTACATGCTGAGCATACACTAGGCACTGCAATTTCCGAATCGTTCTGCTTTGGCATGCACACCTACCAGTTACGCCGCGTGAGCATCAAGGCTGCAACTCCGCACGTTTGCACCAACATCCCGACGAGCATTGCCTGGACACGCCCGGGATCTCCACTGGGGTTTCCAAGCCAAACTCTCACGCGGCAGTGACCACAATGGCAAACAAGGCGCTCATCAGCCATGACTGTTCGGACCGAGTCGGGAGGACAGAGCCAAGCCAAACGCGACCAGGGTATTGTCGTCAAATGGCATGGCGAGCGCCATGATGGCGGCGTCCAACGATACTTGGTCTCGACCGCGTTCACGTACACAAATGTAGCTAGTGTGTCACGGGCGATGAGGACCTGTTCGATCTGGTCCATGGAGAACCGCATGCCACATGAACGCGATTGAGCACAACGCTTCCGTCCTCCTGAACGACCACCAAGTTCATGACACAGCAGCACAGCCTTGGTTGTAGTCTGCGTCAACCGACAGCTCTCGGCCTCGTGCATGCCTTTGACCCAAGCCGCCACGAGTTGCTCTTCATCGTCTAGTTCGTTCTTGTCGGCCAAGTCCGACGCCGTGGCCACGCCGTTGCATCGGGCAAGACTCGGACTTGGTCATTGGATGCAGCAGACTAACCCGTTGATGTGAATCTACAAGCGCCATGACGAGGAGCGCGGTGCAAGATCCATCGGCTCGATCGTGGCCATCGTGGCCTTCATGGCTTCTCTTGAACTCGGCCGGGCAGGGGATCACAGGCAGCAAGCCGCAGGACCTAGGAAGCACATCGAGTAGTGAATCGACTTTGTGAATAGACTCTGTCCCTAAGTTCAGTTGTTCTTCCTACTGGCGCATGCATGACGAGCTTGAAGCTCGTCCTTCAGCGACGCCTCACCGTCACTGGCAGAACATCAACCGCATTGATGCAATTCACAATCTTGACCATGCCACCGAGTTTCCGGATCCGGATGCCTTGGCTTGGCGCCAAATATTTCAACAGCTTCTGGGGCAAGCCACCTTGACTTGCACGAGCGACAAGTTCACTGCGGTGGCCACGACGGGAGACAACGTGAGCACGTTGTCGACTTGGTTCATGGCGTCAGCCAGCTCAAAGGCGGCGCCAGCAATGTCACGACGCAAGCGACGGTGAACATCATCGACACTTGGTCTACGTCACGTCATCGACTGCAAAGTTGTTGCAAGACTGGATCGGGTACACGGCAGACGAGCAAGGCAGCATGCAGCCGCGTGGGTGCTGTTGAAAGCCAAAGGCGCGACCATGCGTTCAGTGTACAATGCTGGCACTGGCGTGCGCGCTTGTGCGTCTTGTGGAATACAGGATGGCATCGGTACGCCCCTCGGTCCTGAGTCAAATCGTCGACAGCGTGGGCTCCATGTTGTCAGCACTCGGCATGCCCTCGTTGATGTTGTACGAGGTGGATGCAAGATTGTTCCGGCGTTCGGATGAGGAGTAAGCCACTCCTTGTCCCCCCAAGACGGGGGGCTGCGTGTTTCGATTTTGACTGGAGAGCTCTTTGGCTCTGTCGCGCTGTCACGACGAATCAGCTTGAGGGCATGTTCCCTCGCACGCTGTCGTCGAGGGTGCACCTCATGCTGGCAACAATGAGCCCTAGCACTTGTCGACGATGAACAAGGCATGAACGCGCGACCGAAATGCTGCATGTTGCTCGTGGTATACCAAAACATGCATGCCCTGTTCCTTACAGAGAGAACGTCGCTCCAGGAAACGCAAGCGATGGACTCTTGCAGCCATCAAAAGAATCCGCGGCTCTGCCGTGCCCTGAAGTCGTCGTGTATCGAAGAATGGCGCGGGTTGAAGTGGTTGAGGTAACCATCCATTTTTCTGTGGAATTCACATCTTGGACAAACTATAGAACATGTCAACGCTTGAGGGTGGCGCGAACGTCAGTCATTGCACTCCACTTTGGAATTCACGGCCAAGATGAAGTTGTACTGCTTGATCCAAGAACCGAATGCGCGGGCGTTCCACGTCCACATCGCGCCGGAAGATGAAGTGAGTGACCTGAAGAGCGTCATATGTGCCAAATATCCAGGCAGCCTCAAGGACATCGCCGACTACAATCTAATACTGTCACTCGCGCGCAAAGACGGACACTGGCTGCCCGAAGAGGATGCGATGACGAGCGATGTCGAGTTCAAAGTGCTCCCAGCAACCAGCCTGATCTCCGACATTTTCAGTGGGGAGCTGGGAAAGAACTGCATTCACGTGCTCGTTCGACGACCCGACTACGACCACGCCAAGTATT